AATCCATTGCAGCCGCTGACACATGCTCAAGCGACGGACCTCTGTATGTTCTTCGCTTGGGACTTGGAATGATGGTAGCTTTCTCAAGTGATTGAGTGCGCGTGTGTCTCTTGATGTTGCTCTTCGAAGACCTGGTGTCTTCGTTGTCATCGTCGCTCGAGTCCATGTCGTCGTCAGTTTTACCTTCTTCTTTTTCTTCGTCCTCATCATGATCATCAAACTCAACGACACTTGACTCATCGTTGTAGTTGCGCGGACCTTCATCAAACTTGTCTTCCATGAATGTGGCATCGCGACTGATCTTGATCGCTCCTGTTGACACTTCCTCAAATCGATATGACTTCTGGTGTTCGGCGTATCCCAGGAAACGACAGAGTGATGACTTGGAGTCGAACTTCGCGCGTTTGTCTTGAGGCACTTGAACATACGCGTGGCATCCAAACACTTTAAGGTTGGCCAGAATCGGTTTCTTCATCGTCCACACTTGATATGGAGACTTGTCTTGGTGAATGGCACGTGTTGGACAGCGGTTTCGAAGAAACATCGCCGTCATCACTGCTTCACCCCAGTAGCTCTTTCCCAGTCCAGCGTGTTCCATCATGCAACGCGCACACTCGACCAGCGTGCGATTCATTCTCTCAGCTACTCCGTTTAGCTGAGGAGTATATGGGGGTGTGAACCTTTGTTGTATTCCCCGTTCCGCGCAGAATCGTGCCAGCTTGTCGGACTTGTATTCACCCCCATTGTCGCTTTGAAGGTACTTCACGCGCTTTCCGGTTTGCGTTTCGGCCATCGCAGCGTATTCCATGAACTTCGCCGCAACTTCAGATTTGCTCTTGAGCAGATAGACGACACAGTATCTTGACTTGTCATCAATGAATGTCACGAAGTACCGTTTTCCACTGAAAGTTGCCATCGACATCGGTCCGCATACGTCGCTGTGAATCACTTCGAGGAGTTTGGAGGTGCGAGCTGTAGTGTTTGATTGGGAAGCGCACTCGAGTCTGTTTTCCCAGAGCACAACCTTCACACACGTCCCACTTCTTCACCGAAGATATGTCGATGCCAATTCCAATGTTCTTCGTCACGATGCAATTGAGTCCATCGTGACCTATGTGGCCAAGCCGAAGGTGCCAGAGGTACGACTTGGTGCCCCCTTGGCATCCCGACGACTTGGCTGCATTTGCTTGTTCCGGCGCCACTGGAGTCATTTGCAGCTTGAACAGTCCTTTACCTTCACGGGCACCAATTTTCCACTTGGTCCCTTTCGCTTTTCCATAGCACCCATCCTTCGTGAACGTCACTGGGCCGACATCCTTGGTGAAGCGGCCGACCGAGAACAGGTTTCTGGATAACTTTGGGATGTGCCACACGTTTGTGAGCACACCTTTCTTCATCCCTTGGGGTGTCTTCATCGACATGACAATGTCCCCACTGCCGATTGCTTGGACGATTCCATCATCCGCGAGATGGACATCCACAGCGTCAAACCCCTTGTAGTTCCGCATGAACTTCTTGGAGCACGTCATGTGCTGCGTCGCCCCGGAGTCGACCAGCCAGATGTCGCTCGATTTCGCAGATGTCGTTTCACCGATCGAAAAGAGGTAGTCGCCCGAGTCTTCTTCTTGAGCGACGTTTGCACGTTGTGATCGATAGCGGTCGCCGCTGTCTTGAGCACGCTGTGGCCGGTGTCTCTCCGTGTTTTCTTGGATGCGCGAGGGGCACTCCGCCATCCAGTGACCAATCTTTCCGCAATTGTGGCATGGCCAGGACTTCTTCACTGGTCGCCCTTTGCGCTGATTGTCCCTTGTGATGAACGCTTGACCTTGCGAAGCTTCATCACCTTTACTTCCTTGCTCCTTCCGCTTCATTTCTTCATGAAGCAGTCGAGACATCACGAGCTCCCAGCTAAGAGTGTCTGAGCGCGACTCCAAAGCTGTGATCAAGAATTGATACGAGTCACTCAGGCTGCCGAGGAGTGTGATCACCAGATCGTCCTCGCAGACTGGAGCCCCCACCGCTTCTAGCTGTTCCGCCAGCGTCTTGAGCTTGTTGATGTGTTCGAGCACATCGTCGCCTTCTTCCATCATTGTCGTGAAGAAGCGACGGCGCAAGAACAGCTTGTTGGCAAGACTCTTCTTCTCGAAGTGGTCTTCCAACCTTGACCATGCGTCGCATGCACCACTTGCCGACCGGACCAACGGTAGCTGGGAATCTTCCATGGCTAGACAGATCACTGCCATCGCCTTTCTTGACTTCCTCTTGTACGTCGCTTGGTCCAACTGAGTCTCGCACTGTTCCGCCTTGATCTCACCGCTGACGACCTCCCATAGGTCCCGTTCCTCCAGCACCATCTGCATCTTGAACTTCCAGGCGTGGAAGTTAGTTCCATCGAACTTGGAGATGCGGAGGGAGGAGGCGTCCATGGCAGCTAAGCTTGAATTGTTGGCGGTTTCAGAGTCCTGACGAACTTGGGCTCATAACCTGATGAACTTTAGACTTCTTGGTCCGAGTGCAAAACGCAAAGTGAATATATATTTATAATAGGTACTTAGTTCGCAACTTTGAATACTACCTCTAAGCCTATTATTCGCAGTGACGTCATCCAGTGACGTCATCCAGTGACGTCACCCACTGACGTCATGCAATGACGTCATCCAGTGACGTCATTTCCTGACTTCGCCCTTACTGGTACATACCGGTACCCACCGGTATAGCGAAGCTTGGTCTTCCACTTGCTTCAACACTTGACGCAGCTTGACGAGGTGTCTTCTTCACAGCCGCTGTCTTTTCAACAATGCGGAACTACAAGGGGTTTGACGCTGTGGATGTCCATCTCGCGGATGATGGAATCGTCCAAGCAATCGGCAGTGGGGACATTGTCATGTCGATGAAGACACCCCAAGGGATGAAGAAAGGTGTGCTCACAAACGTGTGGCACATCCCAAAGTTATCCAGAAACCTGTTCTCGGTCGGCCGCTTCACCAAGGATGTCGGCCCAGTGACGTTCACGAAGGATGGGTGCTATGGAGAAGCGAAAGGGACCAAGTGGAAAATTGGTGCCCGTGAAGGTAAAGGACTGTTCAAGCTGCAAATGACTCCAGTGGAGCCGGAACAAGCAAATGCAGCCAAGTCGTCGGGATGTCAAGGGGGCACCAAGTCGTACCTCTGGCACCTTCGGCTTGGCCACATAGGTCACGATGGACTCAATTGCATCGTGACGAAGAACATTGGAATTGGCATCGACATATCTTCGGTGAAGAAGTGGGACGTGTGTGAAGGTTGTGCTCTGGGAAAACAGACTCGAGTGCGCTTCCAATCAAACACTACAGCTCGCACCTCCAAACTCCTCGAAGTGATTCACAGTGACGTATGCGGACCGATGTCGATGGCAACTTTCAGTGGAAAACGGTACTTCGTGACATTCATTGATGACAAGTCAAGATACTGTGTCGTCTATCTGCTCAAGAGCAAATCTGAAGTGTTGAAAAGACAGCGGCTGTGAAGAAGACACCTCGTCAAGCTGCGTCAAGTGTTGAAGCAAGTGGAAGACCAAGCTTCGCTATACCGGTGGGTACCGGTATGTACCAGTAAGGGCGAAGTCAGGAAATGACGTCACTGGATGACGTCATTGCATGACGTCAGTGGGTGACGTCAGTGGGTGACGTCACTGGATGACGTCACTGCGAATAATAGGCTTAGAGGTAGTATTCAAAGTTGCGAACTAAGTACCTATTATAAATATATATTCACTTTGCGTTTTGCACTCGGACCAAGAAGTCTAAAGTTCATCAACTTCCACGCCTGGAAGTTCAAGATGCAGATGGTGCTGGAGGAACGGGACCTATGGGAGGTCGTCAGCGGTGAGATCAAGGCGGAACAGTGCGAGACTCAGTTGGACCAAGCGACATACAAGAGGAAGTCAAGAAAGGCGATGGCAGTGATCTGTCTAGCCATGGAAGATTCCCAGCTACCGTTGGTCCGGTCGGCAAGTGGTGCATGCGACGCATGGTCAAGGTTGGAAGACCGCTTCGAGAAGAAGAGTCTTGCCAACAAGCTGTTCTTGCGCCGTCGCTTCTTCACGACAATGATGGAAGAAGGCGACGATGTGCTCGAACACATCAACAAGCTCAAGACGCTGGCGGAACAGCTAGAAGCGGTGGGGGCTCCAGTCTGCGAGGACGATCTGGTGATCACACTCCTCGGCAGCCTGAGTGACTCGTATCAATTCTTGATCACAGCTTTGGAGTCGCGCTCAGACACTCTTAGCTGGGAGCTCGTGACGTCTCGACTGCTTCATGAAGAAATGAAGCGGAAGGAGCAAGGAAGTAAAGGTGATGAAGCTTCGCAAGGTCAAGCGTTCATCACAAGGGGACAATCAGCGCAAAGGGCGACCAGTGAAGAAGTCCTGGCCGTGCCACAATTGCGGAAAGATTGGTCACTGGATGGCGGAGTGCCCCTCGCGCATCCAAGAAAACACGGAGAGACACCGGCCACAGCGTGCTCAAGACAGCGGCGACCGCTATCGATCACAACGTGCAAACGTCGCTCAAGAAGAAGACTCGGGCGACTACCTCTTTTCGATCGGTGAAACGACATCTGCGAAATCGAGCGACATCTGGCTGGTCGACTCCGGGGCGACGCAGCACATGACGTGCTCCAAGAAGTTCATGCGGAACTACAAGGGGTTTGACGCTGTGGATGTCCATCTCGCGGATGATGGAATCGTCCAAGCAATCGGCAGTGGGGACATTGTCATGTCGATGAAGACACCCCAAGGGATGAAGAAAGGTGTGCTCACAAACGTGTGGCACATCCCAAAGTTATCCAGAAACCTGTTCTCGGTCGGCCGCTTCACCAAGGATGTCGGCCCAGTGACGTTCACGAAGGATGGGTGCTATGGAGAAGCGAAAGGGACCAAGTGGAAAATTGGTGCCCGTGAAGGTAAAGGACTGTTCAAGCTGCAAATGACTCCAGTGGCGCCGGAACAAGCAAATGCAGCCAAGTCGTCGGGATGTCAAGGGGGCACCAAGTCGTACCTCTGGCACCTTCGGCTTGGCCACATAGGTCACGATGGACTCAATTGCATTGTGACGAAGAACATTGGAATTGGCATCGACATATCTTCGGTGAAGAAGTGGGACGTGTGTGAAGGTTGTGCTCTGGGAAAACAGACTCGAGTGCGCTTCCAATCAAACACTACAGCTCGCACCTCCAAACTCCTCGAAGTGATTCACAGCGACGTATGCGGACCGATGTCGATGGCAACTTTCAGTGGAAAACGGTACTTCGTGACATTCATTGATGACAAGTCAAGATACTGTGTCGTCTATCTGCTCAAGAGCAAATCTGAAGTTGCGGCGAAGTTCATGGAATACGCTGCGATGGCCGAAACGCAAACCGGAAAGCGCGTGAAGTACCTTCAAAGCGACAATGGGGGTGAATACAAGTCCGACAAGCTGGCACGATTCTGCGCGGAACGGGGAATACAACAAAGGTTCACAACCCCATATACTCCTCAGCTAAACGGAGTAGCTGAGAGAATGAATCGCACGCTGGTCGAGTGTGCGCGTTGCATGATGGAACACGCTGGACTGGGAAAGAGCTACTGGGGTGAAGCAGTGATGACGGCGATGTTTCTTCGAAACCGCTGTCCAACACGTGCCATTCACCAAGACAAGTCTCCATATCAAGTGTGGACGATGAATAAACCGATTCTGGCCAACCTTAAAGTGTTTGGATGCCACGCGTATGTTCAAGTGCCTCAAGACAAACGCGCGAAGTTCGACTCCAAGTCATCACTCTGTCGTTTCCTGGGATACGCCGAACACCAGAAGTCATATCGATTTGAGGAAGTGTCAACAGGAGCGATCAAGATCAGTCGCGATGCCACATTCATGGAAGACAAGTTTGATGAAGGTCCGCGCAACTACAACGATGAGTCAAGTGTCGTTGAGTTTGATGATCATGATGAGGACGAAGAAAAAGAAGAAGGTAAAACTGACGACGAAATGGACTCGAGCGACGATGACAACGAAGACACCAGGTCTTCGAAGAGCAACATCAAGAGACACACGCGCACTCAATCACTTGAGAAAGCTACCGTCATTCCAAGTCCCAAGCGAAGAACATACAGAGGTCCGTCGCTTGAGCCTGTGTCAGCGGCTGCAATGGATTTTGAAGCAGCCTACATCGTTGATTCAGTGGGGGAAACGCCGACTACATTCAAGTCGGCGATGGAATCAAGCGACTCCGGCAAGTGGAAAGAAGCGTGTGACTCGGAGTTCGATTCGCTTCAGAGAAACGACACGTGGGAAATCGTGCCTCTTCCGAAAGGTCGCAAGGCCATCGGGTGCCGATGGGTTTTCGTGTAAAGGAGAATCAAGATGGCGAAGTTGAACGTTTCAAGGCAAGACTTGTGGCCAAAGGATTCTCACAGAAATTCGGAGTTGACTATGAAGAAACTTTCGCACCGGTGGCCAAGTTCACATCGATTCGTGTGGTGCTCAGTATGGCGGCTAAGTACGGCCTAATGCTACATCAGATGGACGTCAAGACAGCGTTTCTTAACGGCTCCCTCAACGAAGACATCTACATGGACCAGCCGGACGGATACCTGGATGCAACACAGCCGGACTATGTGTGCAAGCTAAAGAGATCACTCTACGGCTTGAAGCAATCGCCTCGCATGTGGAACCAAACAATCGATGGGTTCATGATCAAGATGGGATTCAAGAAGTGCGAATCGGACCACTGCATCTACATCAAGCGAGACGACCAAGACATGATTCTCGTGGTGCTCTACGTCGATGATCTCATCCTGGCCAGCAGCAACAACGAACTCCTCAAGTCAACCAAGATGGCGCTGAGCAAACGCTTCGAAATGACGGATCTCGGTGAGCTCGATTACTTTCTCGGCATGGAGATCAAGAACGACCGTAAGACGGGAATGGTGACTGTGCAACAAACCAAGTTTCTCAAGTCCGTGTTAACCAAGTTCGGAATGGATAACAGCAAGCCAGTGAAGACGCCTCAAGATCCCGGCCTGAAGCTAACCAAGAACATGTGTGAACAAGAATGCAAGCACGAAGACACCATGTGCAACGTGCCATATCGAAGTGCTGTCGGAGGCATCATGTATCTCATGGTCGCCACACGTCCGGATCTAGCTGCTGCAGTGGGATCATTATCCCAGTTCTCGTCCGACCCATGCCCGACTCACTGGCAAGCTTTGAAGCGTGTGCTGAGATACCTGCAAGCAACGCCCAATCATGGTCTTGAGTTTACACGTGAAGAAGGAAGCCGTATCTGCGGGTACACCGACGCAGACTGGGCCGGCGACATTGAGTCAAGACGAAGTACAAGCGGCTATGTGTTCATGATGAGCGGAGGATGCATCAGCTGGAAAAGCCAGAAACAACGGACGGTCGCGCTATCTTCAACAGAAGCAGAATACATGGCGCTTTCCGAAGCAACCAAAGAAGCAGTATGGCTCAAAGTGCTTTTGGGGGAACTTGGTGAGATGACAAGCGACGAAGCGATCAAGATGTATGAAGACAACCAAGGATCAATCGCTCTCGCCAAGAACCCGGAGTTCCATAAGAGAACAAAACACATCGACATACGCTACCATTTTGTGCGTGAGAAGGTGGAATCAGGTGAAGTCGTTTTGGAGTATTGCCCGACTCAAGATATGCTGGCAGACATGATGACCAAGCCGATCGCCGCTGTACAATTTGAAAACATTCGCGATCGACTTGGGATCCAAGGTGCCGCAGCTAACGAGTCGAGAGGGAGTGTTGAAAAGACAGCGGCTGTGAAGAAGACACCTCGTCAAGCTGCGTCAAGTGTTGAAGCAAGTGGAAGACCAAGCTTCGCTATACCGGTGGGTACCGGTATGTACCAGTAAGGGCGAAGTCAGGAAATGACGTCACTGGATGACGTCATTGCATGACGTCAGTGGGTGACGTCAGTGGGTGACGTCACTGGATGACGTCACTGCGAATAATAGGCTTAGAGGTAGTATTCAAAGTTGCGAACTAAGTACCTATTATAAATATATATTCACTTTGCGTTTTGCACTCGGACCAAGAAGTCTAAAGTTCATCAATACGCTGCGATGGCCGAAACGCAAACCGGAAAGCGCGTGAAGTACCTTCAAAGCGACAATGGGGGTGAATACAAGTCCGACAAGCTGGCACGATTCTGCGCGGAACGGGGAATACAACAAAGGTTCACACCCCTATATACTCCTCAGCTAAACGGAGTAGCTGAGAGAATGAATCGCACGCTGGTCGAGTGTGCGCGTTGCATGATGGAACACGCTGGACTGGGAAAGAGCTACTGGGGTGAAGCAGTGATGACGGCGATGTTTCTTCGAAACCGCTGTCCAACACGTGCCATTCACCAAGACAAGTCTCCATATCAAGTGTGGACGATGAAGAAACCGATTCTGGCCAACCTTAAAGTGTTTGGATGCCACGCGTATGTTCAAGTGCCTCAAGACAAACGCGCGAAGTTCGACTCCAAGTCATCACTCTGTCGTTTCCTGGGATACGCCGAACACCAGAAGTCATATCGATTTGAGGAAGTGTCAACAGGAGCGATCAAGATCAGTCGCGATGCCACATTCATGGAAGACAAGTTTGATGAAGGTCCGCGCAACTACAACGATGAGTCAAGTGTCGTTGAGTGTGATGATCATGATGAGGACGAAGAAAAAGAAGAAGGTAAAACTGACGACGACATGGACTCGAGCGACGATGACAACGAAGACACCAGGTCTTCGAAGAGCAACATCAAGAGACACACGCGCACTCAATCACTTGAGAAAGCTACCGTCATTCCAAGTCCCAAGCGAAGAACGTACAGATGTCCGTCGCTTGAGCATGTGTCAGCGGCTGCAATGGATTTTGAAGCAGCCTACATCGTTGATTCAGTGGGGAAACGCCGACTACATTCAAGTCGGCGATGGAATCAAGCGACTCCGGCAAGTGGAAAGAAGCGTGTGACTCGGAGTTCGACTCGCTTCAGAGAAACGACACGTGGGAAATCGTGCCTCTTCCGAAAGGTCGCAAGGCCATCGGGTGCCGATGGGTTTTTCGTGTAAAGGAGAATCAAGATGGCGAAGTTGAACGTTTCAAGGCAAGACTTGTGGCCAAAGGATTCTCACAGAAATTCGGAGTTGACTATGAAGAAACTTTCGCACCGGTGGCCAAGTTCACATCGATTCGTGTGGTGCTCAGTATGGCGGCTAAGTACGGCCTGATGCTACATCAGATGGACGTCAAGACAGCGTTTCTTAACGGCTCCCTCAACGAAGACATCTACATGGACCAGCCGGACGGATACCTGGATGCAACACAGCCGGACTATGTGTGCAAGCTAAAGAGATCACTCTACGGCTTGAAGCAATCGCCTCGCATGTGGAACCAAACAATCGATGGGTTCATGATCAAGATGGGATTCAAGAAGTGCGAATCGGACCACTGCATCTACATCAAGCGAGACGACCAAGACATGATTCTCGTGGTGCTCTACGTCGATGATCTCATCCTGGCCAGCAGCAACAACGAACTCCTCAAGTCAACCAAGATGGCGCTGAGCAAACGCTTCGAAATGACGGATCTCGGTGAGCTCGATTACTTTCTCGGCATGGAGATCAAGAACGACCGTAAGACGGGAATGGTGACTGTACAACAAACCAAGTTTCTCAAGTCCGTGTTAACCAAGTTCGGAATGGATAACAGCAAGCCAGTGAAGACGCCTCAAGATCCCGGCCTGAAGCTAACCAAGAACATGTGTGAACAAGAATGCAAGCACGAAGACACCATGTGCAACGTGCCATATCGAAGTGCTGTCGGAGGCATCATGTATCTCATGGTCGCCACACGTCCGGATCTAGCTGCTGCAGTGGGATCATTATCCCAGTTCTCGTCCGACCCATGCCCGACTCACTGGCAAGCTTTGAAGCGTGTGCTGAGATACCTGCAAGCAACGCCCAATCATGGTCTTGAGTTTACACGTGAAGAAGGAAGCCGTATCTGCGGGTACACCGACGCAGACTGGGCCGGCGACATTGAGTCAAGACGAAGTACAAGCGGCTATGTGTTCATGATGAGCGGAGGATGCATCAGCTGGAAAAGCCAGAAACAACGGACGGTCGCGCTATCTTCAACAGAAGCAGAATACATGGCGCTTTCCGAAGCAACCAAAGAAGCAGTATGGCTCAAAGTGCTTTTGGGGGAACTTGGTGAGATGACAAGCGACGAAGCGATCAAGATGTATGAAGACAACCAAGGATCAATCGCTCTCGCCAAGAACCCGGAGTTCCATAAGAGAACAAAACACATCGACATACGCTACCATTTTGTGCGTGAGAAGGTGGAATCAGGTGAAGTCGTTTTGGAGTATTGCCCGACTCAAGATATGCTGGCAGACATGATGACCAAGCCGATCGCCGCTGTACAATTTGAAAACATTCGCGATCGACTTGGGATCCAAGGTGCCGCAGCTAACGAGTCGAGAGGGAGTGTTGAAAAGACAGCAGCTGTGAAGAAGACACCTCGTCAAGCTGCGTCAAGTGTTGAAGCAAGTGGAAGACCAAGCTTCGCTATACCGGTGGGTACCGGTATGTACCAGTAAGGGTGAAGTCAGGAAATGACGTCACTGGATGACGTCATTGCATGACGTCAGTGGGTGACGTCAGTGGGTGACGTCACTGGATGACGTCACTGCGAATAATAGGCTTAGAGGTAGTATTCAAAGTTGCGAACTAAGTACCTATTATAAATATATATTTACTTTGCGTTTTGCACTCGGACCAAGAAGTCTAAAGTTCATCAAAGACAACCAAGGATCAATCGCTCTCGCCAAGAACCCGGAGTTCCATAAGAGAACAAAACACATCGACATACGCTACCATTTTGTGCGTGAGAAGGTGGAATCAGGTGAAGTCGTTTTGGAGTATTGCCCGACTCAAGATATGCTGGCAGACATGATGACCAAGCCGATCGCCGCTGTACAATTTGAAAACATTCGCGATCGACTTGGGATCCAAGGTGCCGCAGCTAACGAGTCGAGAGGGAGTGTTGAAAAGACAGCGGCTGTGAAGAAGACACCTCGTCAAGCTGCGTCAAGTGTTGAAGCAAGTGGAAGACCAAGCTTCGCTATACCGGTGGGTACCGGTATGTACCAGTAAGGGCGAAGTCAGGAAATGACGTCATTGCATGACGTCACTGCGAATAATAGGCTTAGAGGTAGTATTCAAAGTTGCGAACTAAGTACCTATTATAAATATATATTCACTTTGCGTTTTGCACTCGGACCAAGAAGTCTAAAGTTCATCACATCAAACTTGTCTTCCATGAATGTGGCATCGCGACTGATCTTGATCGCTCCTGTTGACACTTCCTCAAATCGATATGACTTCTGGTGTTCGGCGTATCCCAGGAAACGACAGAGTGATGACTTGGAGTCGAACTTCGCGCGTTTGTCTTGAGGCACTTGAACATACGCGTGGCATCCAAACACTTTAAGGTTGGCCAGAATCGGTTTCTTCATCGTCCACACTTGATATGGAGACTTGTCTTGGTGAATGGCACGTGTTGGACAGCGGTTTCGAAGAAACATCGCCGTCATCACTGCTTCACCCCAGTAGCTCTTTCCCAGTCCAGCGTGTTCCATCATGCAACGCGCACACTCGACCAGCGTGCGATTCATTCTCTCAGCTACTCCGTTTAGCTGAGGAGTATATGGGGTTGTGAACCTTTGTTGTATTCCCCGTTCCGCGCAGAATCGTGCCAGCTTGTCGGACTTGTATTCACCCCCATTGTCGCTTTGAAGGTACTTCACGCGCTTTCCGGTTTGCGTTTCGGCCATCGCAGCGTATTCCATGAACTTCGCCGCAACTTCAGATTTGCTCTTGAGCAGATAGACGACACAGTATCTTGACTTGTCATCAATGAATGTCACGAAGTACCGTTTTCCACTGAAAGTTGCCATCGACATCGGTCCGCATACGTCGCTGTGAATCACTTCGAGGAGTTTGGAGGTGCGAGCTGTAGTGTTTGATTGGAAGCGCACTCGAGTCTGTTTTCCCAGAGCACAACCTTCACACACGTCCCACTTCTTCACCGAAGATATGTCGATGCCAATTCCAATGTTCTTCGTCACGATGCAATTGAGTCCATCGTGACCTATGTGGCCAAGCCGAAGGTGCCAGAGGTACGACTTGGTGCCCCCTTGACATCCCGACGACTTGGCTGCATTTGCTTGTTCCGGCGCCACTGGAGTCATTTGCAGCTTGAACAGTCCTTTACCTTCACGGGCACCAATTTTCCACTTGGTCCCTTTCGCTTCTCCATAGCACCCATCCTTCGTGAACGTCACTGGGCCGACATCCTTGGTGAAGCGGCCGACCGAGAACAGGTTTCTGGATAACTTTGGGATGTGCCACACGTTTGTGAGCACACCTTTCTTCATCCCTTGGGGTGTCTTCATCGACATGACAATGTCCCCACTGCCGATTGCTTGGACGATTCCATCATCCGCGAGATGGACATCCACAGCGTCAAACCCCTTGTAGTTCCGCATGAACTTCTTGGAGCACGTCATGTGCTGCGTCGCCCCGGAGTCGACCAGCCAGATGTCCCTCGATTTCGCAGATGTCGTTTCACCGATCGAAAAGAGGTAGTCGCCCGAGTCTTCTTCTTGAGCGACGTTTGCACGTTGTGATCGATAACGGTCGCCACTGTCTTGAGCGCGCTGTGGCCGGTGTCCCTCCGTGTTTTCTTGGATGCGCGAGGGGCACTCCGCCATCCAGTGACCAATCTTTCCGCAATTGTGGCACGGCCAGGACTTCTTCACTGGTCGCCCTTTGCGCTGATTGTCCCTTGTGATGAACGCTTGACCTTGCGAAGCTTCATCACCTTTACTTCCTTGCTCCTTCCGCTTCATTTCTTCATGAAGCAGTCGAGACATCACGAGCTCCCAGCTAAGAGTGTCTGAGCGCGACTCCAAAGCTGTGATCAAGAATTGATACGAGTCACTCAGGCTGCCGAGAAGTGTGATCACCAGATCGTCCTCGCAGACTGGAGCCCCCACCGCTTCTAGCTGTTCCGCCAGCGTCTTGAGCTTGTTGATGTGTTCGAGCACATCTTCGCCTTCTTCCATCATTGTCGTGAAGAAGCGACGGCGCAAGAACAGCTTGTTGGCAAGAATCTTCTTCTCGAAGTGGTCTTCCAACCTTGACCATGCGTCGCATGCACCACTTGCCGACCGGACCAACGGTAGCTGGGAATCTTCCATGGCTAGACAGATCACTGCCATCGCCTTTCTTGACTTCCTCTTGTACGTCGCTTGGTCCAACTGAGTCTCGCACTGTTCCGCCTTGATCTCACCGCTGACGACCTCCCATAGGTCCCGTTCCTCCAGCACCATCTGCATCTTGAACTTCCAGGCGTGGAAGTTAGTTCCATCGAACTTGGAGATGCGGAGGGAGGAAGCGTCCATGGCAGCTAAGCTTGAATTGTTGGCGGTTTCAGAGTCTGACGAACTTGGGCTCATAACCTGATGAACTTTAGACTTCTTGGTCCGAGTGCAAAACGCAAAGTGAATATATATTTATAATAGGTACTTAGTTCGCAACTTTGAATACTACCTCTAAGCCTATTATTCGCAGTGACGTCATCCAGTGACGTCACCCACTGACGTCACCCACTGACGTCACCCACTGACGTCATCCAATGACGTCATTTCCTGACTTCGCCCTTACTGGTACATACCGGTACCCACCGGTATAGCGAAGCTTGGTCTTCCACTTGCTTCAACACTTGACGCAGCTTGACGAGGTGTCTTCTTCACAGCCGCTGTCTTTTCAACACTCCCTCTCGACTCGTTAGCTGCGGCACCTTGGATCCCAAGTCGATCGCGAATGTTTTCAAATTGTACAGCGGCGATCGGCTTGGTCATCATGTCTGCCAGCATATCTTGAGTCGGGCAATACTCCAAAACGACTTCACCTGATTCCACCTTCTCACGCACAAAATGGTAGCGTATGTCGATGTGTTTTGTTCTCTTATGGAACTCCGGGTTCTTGGCGAGAGCGATTGATCCTTGGTTGTCTTTGATGAACTTTAGACTTCTTGGTCCGAGTGCAAAACGCAAAGTAAATATATATTTATAATAGGTACTTAGTTCGCAACTTTGAATACTACCTCTAAGCCTATTATTCGCAGTGACGTCATCCAGTGACGTCATTTCCTGACTTCACCCTTACTGGTGCATACCGGTACCCACCGGTATAGCGAAGCTTGGTCTTCCACTTGCTTCAACACTTGACGCAGCTTGACGAGGTGTCTTCTTCACAGCTGCTGTCTTTTCAACACTCCCTCTCGACTCGTTAGCTGCGGCACCTTGGATCCCAAGTCGATCGCGAATGTTTTCAAATTGTACAGCGGCGATCGGCTTGGTCATCATGTCTGCCAGCATATCTTGAGTCGGGCAATACTCCAAAACGACTTCACCTGATTCCACCTTCTCACGCACAAAATGGTAGCGTATGTCGATGTGTTTTGTTCTCTTATGGAACTCCGGGTTCTTGGCGAGAGCGATTGATCCTTGGTTGTCTTCATACATCTTGATCGCTTCGTCGCTTGTCATCTCACCAAGTTCCCCCAAAAGCACCTTGAGCCATACTGCTTCTTTGGTTGCTTCGGAAAGCGCCATGTATTCTGCTTCTGTTGAAGATAGCGCGACCGTCCGTTGTTTCTGGCTTTTCCAGCTGATGCATCCTCCGCTCATCATGAACACATAGCCGCTTGTACTTCGTCTTGACTCAATGTCGCCGGCCCAGTCTGCGTCGGTGTACCCGCAGATACGGCTTCCTTCTTGACGTGTAAACTCAAGACCATGGTTGGGCGTTGCTTGCAGGTATCTCAGCACACGCTTCAAAGCTTGCCAGTGAGTCGGGCATGGGTCGGACGAGAACTGGGATAATGATCCCACTGCAGCAGCTAGATCCGGACGTGTGGCGACCATGAGATACATGATGCCTCCGACAGCACTTCGATATGGCACGTTGCACATGGTGTCTTCGTGCTTGCATTCTTGTTCACACATGTTCTTGGTTAGCTTCAGGCCGGGATCTTGAGGCGTCTTCACTGGCTTGCTGTTATCCATTCCGAACTTGGTTAACACGGACTTGAGAAACTTGGTTTGTTGCACAGTCACCATTCCCGTCTTACGGTCGTTCTTGATCTCCATGCCGAGAAAGTAATCGAGCTCACCGAGATCCGTCATTTCGAAGCGTTTGCTCAGCGCCATCTTGGTCGACTTGAGGAGTTCGTTGTTGCTGCTGGCCAGGATGAGATCATCGACGTAGAGCACCACGAGAATCATGTCTTGGTCGTCTCGCTTGATTTAGATGCAGTGGTCCGATTCGCACTTCTTGAATCCCATCTTGATCATGAACCCATCGATTGTTTGGTTCCACATGCGAGGCGATTGCTTCAAGCCGTAGAGTGATCTCTTTAGCTTGCACACATAGTCCGGCTGTGTTGCATCCAGGTATCCGTCCGGCTGGTCCATGTAGATGTCTTCGTTGAGGGAGCCGTTAAGAAACGCTGTCTTGACGTCCATCTGATGTAGCATTAGGCCGTACTTAGCCGCCATACTGAGCACCACACGAATCGATGTGAACTTGGCCACCGGTGCGAAAGTTTCTTCATAGTCAACTCCGAATTTCTGTGAGAATCCTTTGGCCACAAGTCTTGCCTTGAAACGTTCAACTTCGCCATCTTGATTCTCCTTTACACGAAAAACCCATCGGCACCCGATGGCCTTGCGACCTTTCGGAAGAGGCACGATTTCCCACGTGTCGTTTCTCTGAAGCGAGTCGAACTCCGAGTCACACGCTTCTTTCCACTTGCCGGAGTCGCTTGATTCCATCGCCGACTTGAATGTAGTCGGCGTTTCCCCCACTGAATCAACGATGTAGGCTGCTTCAAAATCCATTGCAGCCGCTGACACATGCTCAAGCGACGGACATCTGTACGTTCTTCGCTTGGGACTTGGAATGACGGTAGCTTTCTCAAGTGATTGAGTGCGCGTGTGTCTCTTGATGTTGCTCTTCGAAGACCTGGTGTCTTCGTTGTCATCGTCGCTCGAGTCCATGTCGTCGTCAGTTTTACCTTCTTCTTTTTCTTCGTCCTCATCATGATCATCAAACTCAACGACACTTGACTCATCGTTGTAGTTGCGCGGACCTTCATCAAACTTGTCTTCCATGAATGTGGCATCGCGACTGATCTTGATCGCTCCTGTTGACACTTCCTCAAATCGATATGACTTCTGGTGTTCGGCGTATCCCAGGAAACGACAGAGTGATGACTTGGAGTCGAACTTCGCGCGTTTGTCTTGAGGCACTTGAACATACGCGTGGCATCCAAACACTTTAAGGTTGGCCAGAATCGGTTTCTTCATCGTCCACACTTGATATGGAGACTTGTCTTGGTGAATGGCACGTGTTGGACAGCGGTTTCGAAGAAACATCGCCGTCATCACTGCTTCACCCCAGTAGCTCTTTCCCAGTCCAGCGTGTTCCATCATGCAACGCGCACACTCGACCAGCGTGCGATTCATTCTCTCAGCTACTCCGTTTAGCTGAGGAGTATATGGGGGTGTGAACCTTTGTTGTATTCCCCGTTCCGCGCAGAATCGTGCCAGCTTGTCGGACTTGTATTCACCCCCATTGTCGCTTTGAAGGTACTTCACGCGCTTTCCGGTTTGCGTTTCGGCCATCGCAGCGTATTCCATGAACTTCGCCGCAACTTCAGATTTGCTCTTGAGCAGATAGACGACACAGTATCTTGACTTGTCATCAATGAATGTCACGAAGTACCGTTTTCCACTGAAAGTTGCCATCGACATCGGTCCGCATACGTCGCTGTGAATCACTTCGAGGAGTTTGGAGGTGCGAGCTGTAGTGTTTGATTGGAAGCGCACTCGAGTCTGTTTTCCCAGAGCACAACCTTCACACACGTCCCACTTCTTCACCGAAGATATGTCGATGCCAATTCCAATGTTCTTCGTCACGATGCAATTGAGTCCATCGTGACCTATGTGGCCAAGCCGAAGGTGCCAGAGGTACGACTTGGTGCCCCCTTGACATCCCGACGACTTGGCTGCATTTGCTTGTTCCGGCGCCACTGGAGTCATTTGCAGCTTGAACAGTCCTTTACCTTCACGGGCACCAATTTTCCACTTGGTCCCTTTCGCTTCTCCATAGCACCCATCCTTCGTGAACGTCACTGGGCCGACATCCTTGGTGAAGCGGCCGACCGAGAACAGGTTTCTGGATAACTTTGGGATGTGCCACACGTTTGTGAGCACACCTTTCTTCATCCCTTGGGGTGTCTTCATCGACATGACAATGTCCCCACTGCCGATTGCTTGGACGATTCCATCATCCGCGAGATGGACATCCACAGCGTCAAACCCCTTGTAGTTCCGCATGAACTTCTTGGAGCACGTCATGTGCTGCGTCGCCCCGGAGTCGACCAGCCAGATGTCGCTCGATTTCGCAGATGTCGTTTCACCGATCGAAAAGAGGTAGTCGCCCGAGTCTTCTTCTTGAGCGACGTTTGCACGTTGTGATCGATAGCGGTCGCCGCTGTCTTGAGCACGCTGTGGCCGGTGTCTCTCCGTGTTTTCTTGGATGCGCGAGGGGCACTCCGCCATCCAGTGACCAATCTTTCCGCAATTGTGGCACGGCCAGGACTTCTTCACTGGTCGCCCTTTGCGCTGATTGTCCCTTGTGATGAACGCTTGACCTTGCGAAGCTTCATCACCTTTACTTCCTTGCTCCTTCCGCTTCATTTCTTCATGAAGCAGTCGAGACGTCACGAGCTCCCAGCTAAGAGTGTCTGAGCGCGACTCCAAAGCTGTGATCAAGAATTGATACGAGTCACTCAGGCTGCCGAGGAGTGTGATCACCAGATCGTCCTCGCAGACTGGAGCCCCCACCGCTTCTAGCTGTTCCGCCAGCGTCTTGAGCTTGTTGATGTGTTCGAGCACATCGTCGCCTTCTTCCATCATTGTCGTGAAGAAGCGACGGCGCAAGAACAGCTTGTTGGCAAGACTCTTCTTCTCGAAGTGGTCTTCCAACCTTGACCATGATGAACTTTAGACTTCTTGGTCCGAGTGCAAAACGCAAAGTGAATATATATTTATAATAGGTACTTAGTTCGCAACTTTGAATACTACCTCTAAGCCTATTATTCGCAGTGACGTCATCCAGTGACGTCACCCACTGACGTCACCCACTGACGTCATGCAATGACGTCATCCAGTGACGTCATTTCCTGACTTCGCCCTTACTGGTACATACCGGTACCCACCGGTATAGCGAAGCTTGGTCTTCCACTTGCTTCAACACTTGACGCAGCTTGACGAGGTGTCTTCTTCACAGCCGCTGTCTTTTCAACACTCCCTCTCGACTCGTTAGCTGCGGCACCTTGGATCCCAAGTCGATCGCGAATGTTTTTAAATTGTACAGCGGCGATCGGCTTGGTCATCATGTCTGCCAGCATATCTTGAGTCGGGCAATACTCCAAAACGACTTCACCTGATTCCACCTTCTCACGCACAAAATGGTAGCGTATGTCGATGTGTTTTGTTCTCTTATGGAACTCCGGGTTCTTGGCGAGAGCGATTGATCCTTGGTTGTCTTCATACATCTTGATCGCTTCGTCGCTTGTCATCTCACCAAGTTCCCCCAAAAGCACTTTGAGCCATACTGCTTCTTTGGTTGCTTCGGAAAGCGCCATGTATTCTGCTTTTGTTGAAGATAGCGCGACCGTCCGTTGTTTCTGTCTTTTCCAGCTGATGCATCCTCCGCTCATCATGAACACATAGCCGCTTGTACTTCGTCTTGACTCAATGTCGCCGGCCCAGTCTGCGTCGGTGTACCCGCAGATACGGCTTCCTTCTTCACGTGTAAACTCAAGACCATGATTGGGCGTTGCTTGTGATGAACTTTAGACTTCTTGGTCCGAGTGCAAAACGCAAAGTGAATATATATTTATAATAGGTACTTAGTTCGCAACTTTGAATACTACCTCTAAGCCTATTATTCGCAGTGACGTCATCCAGTGACGTCATTTCCTGACTTCGCCCTTACTGGTACATACCGGTACCCACCGGTATAGCGAAGCTTGGTCTTCCACTTGCTTCAACACTTGACGCAGCTTGACGAGGTGTCTTCTTCACAGCCGCTGTCTTTTCAACACTCCCTCTCGACTCGTTAGCTGCGGCACCTTGGATCCCAAGTCGATCGCGAATGTTTTCAAATTGTACAGCGGCGATCGGCTTGGTCATCATGTCTGCCAGCATATCTTGAGTCGGGCAATACTCCAAAACGACTTCACCTGATTCCACCTTCTCACGCACAAAATGGTAGCGTATGTCGATGTGTTTTGTTCTCTTATGGAACTCCGGGTTCTTGGCGAGAGCGATTGATCCTTGGTTGTCTTCATACATCTTGATCGCTTCGTCGCTTGTCATCTCACCAAGTTCCCCCAAAAGCACTTTGAGCCATACTGCTTCTTTGGTTGCTTCGGAAAGCGCCATGTATTCTGCTTTTGTTGAAGATAGCGCGACCGTCCGTTGTTTCTGTCTTTTCCAGCTGATGCATCCTCCGCTCATCATGAACACATAGCCGCTTGTACTTCGTCTTGACTCAATGTCGCCGGCCCAGTCTGCGTCGGTGTACCCGCAGATACGGCTTCCTTCTTCACGTGTAAACTCAAGACCATGATTGGGCGTTGCTTGTGATGAACTTTAGACTTCTTGGTCCGAGTGCAAAACGCAAAGTGAATATATATTTATAATAGGTACTTAGTTCGCAACTTTGAATACTACCTCTAAGCCTATTATTCGCAGTGACGTCATCCAGTGACGTCACCCACTGACGTCACCCACTGACGTCATGCAATGACGTCATCCAGTGACGTCATTTCCTGACTTCGCCCTTACTGGTACATACCGGTACCCACCGGTATAGCGAAGCTTGGTCTTCCACTTGCTTCAACACTTGACGCAGCTTGACGAGGTGTCTTCTTCACAGCCGCTGTCTTTTCAACACTCCCTCTCGACTCGTTAGCTGCGGCACCTTGGATCCCAAGTCGATCGCGAATGTTTTCAAATTGTACAGCGGCGATCGGCTTGGTCATCATGTCTGCCAGCATATCTTGAGTCGGGCAATACTCCAAAACGACTTCACCTGATTCCACCTTCTCACGCACAAAATGGTAGCGTATGTCGATGTGTTTTGTTCTCTTATGGAACTCCGGGTTCTTGGCGAGAGCGATTGATCCTTGGTTGTCTTCATACATCTTGATCGCTTCGTCGCTTGTCATCTCACCAAGTTCCCCAAAAGCACTTTGAGCCATACTGCTTCTTTGGTTGCTTCGGAAAGCGCCATGTATTCTGCTTTTGTTGAAGATAGCGCGACCGTCCGTTGTTTCTGTCTTTTCCAGCTGATGCATCCTCCGCTCATCATGAACACATAGCCGCTTGTACTTCGTCTTGACTCAATGTCGCCGGCCCAGTCTGCGTCGGTGTACCCGCAGATACGGCTTCCTTCTTCACGTGTAAACTCAAGACCATGATTGGGCGTTGCTTGTGATGAACTTTAGACTTCTTGGTCCGAGTGCAAAACGCAAAGTGAATATATATTTATAATAGGTACTTAGTTCGCAACTTTGAATACTACCTCTAAGCCTATTATTCGCAGTGACGTCATCCAGTGACGTCACCCACTGACGTCATCCAGTGACGTCATTTCCTGACTTCGCCCTTACTGGTACATACCGGTACCCACCGGTATAGCGAAGCTTGGTCTTCCACTTGCTTCAACACTTGACGCAGCTTGACGAGGTGTCTTCTTCACAGCCGCTGTCTTTTCAACACTCCCTCTCGACTCGTTAGCTGCGGCACCTTGATCCCAAGTCGATCGCGAATGTTTTCAAATTGTACAGCGGCGATCGGCTTGGTCATCATGTCTGCCAGCATATCTTGAGTCGGGCAATACTCCAAAACGACTTCACCTGATTCCACCTTCTCACGCACAAAATGGTAGCGTATGTCGATGTGTTTTGTTCTCTTATGGAACTCCGGGTTCTTGGCGAGAGCGATTGATCCTTGGTTGTCTTCATACATCTTGATCGCTTCGTCGCTTGTCATCTCACCAAGTTCCCCCAAAAGCACTTTGAGCCATACTGCTTCTTTGGTTGCTTCGGAAAGCGCCATGTATTCTGCTTCTGTTGAAGATAGCGCGACCGTCCGTTGTTTCTGGCTTTTCCAGCTGATGCATCCTCCGCTCATCATGAACACATAGCCGCTTGTACTTCGTCTTGACTCAATGTCGCCGGCCCAGTCTGCGTCGGTGTACCCGCAGATACGGCTTCCTTCTTCACGTGTAAACTCAAGACCATGATTGGGCGTTGCTTGCAGGTATCTCAGCACACGCTTCAAAGCTTGCCAGTGAGTCGGGCATGGGTCGGACGAGAACTGGGATAATGATCCCACTGCAGCAGCTAGATCCGGACGTGTGGCGACCATGAGATACATGATGCCTCCGACAGCACTTCGATATGGCACGTTGCACATGGTGTCTTCGTGCTTGCATTCTTGTTCACACATGTTCTTGGTTAGCTTCAGGCCGGGATCTTGAGGCGTCTTCACTGGCTTGCTGTTATCCATTCCGAACTTGGTTAACACGGACTTGAGAAACTTGGTTTGTTGTACAGTCACCATTCCCGTCTTACGGTCGTTCTTGATCTCCATGCCGAGAAAGTAATCGAGCTCACCGAGATCCGTCATTTCGAAGCGTTTGCTCAGCGCCATCTTGGTTGACTTGAGGAGTTCGTTGTTGCTGCTGGCCAGGATGAGATCATCGACGTAGAGCACCACGAGAATCATGTCTTGGTCGTCTCGCTTGATGTAGATGCAGTGGTCCGATTCGCACTTCTTGAATCCCATCTTGATCATGAACCCATCGATTGTTTGGTTCCACATGCGAGGCGATTGCTTCAAGCCGTAGAGTGATCTCTTTAGCTTGCACACATAGTCCGGCTGTGTTGTATCCAGGTATCCGTCCGGCTGGTCCATGTAGATGTCTTCGTTGAGGGAGCCGTTAAGAAACGCTGTCTTGACGTCCATCTGATGTAGCATTAGGCCGTACTTAGCCGCCATACTGAGCACCACACGAATCGATGTGAACTTGGCCACCGGTGCGAAAGTTTCTTCATAGTCAACTCCGAATTTCTGTGAGAATCCTTTGGCCACAAGTCTTGCCTTGAAACGTTCAACTTCGCCATCTTGATTCTCCTTTACACGAAAAACCCATCGGCACCCGATGGCCTTGCGACCTTTCGGAAGAGGCACGATTTCCCACGTGTCGTTTCTCTGAAGCGAGTCGAACTCCGAGTCACACGCTTCTTTCCACTTGCCGGAGTCGCTTGATTCCATCGCCGACTTGAATGTAGTCGGCGTTTCCCCCACTGAATCAACGATGTAGGCTGCTTCAAAATCCATTGCAGCCGCTGACACATGCTCAAGCGACGGACATCTGTACGTTCTTCGCTTGGGACTTGGAATGACGGTAGCTTTCTCAAGTGATTGAGTGCGCGTGTGTCTCTTGATGTTGCTCTTCGAAGACCTGGTGTCTTCGTTGTCATCGTCGCTCGAGTCCATGTCGTCGTCAGTTTTACCTTCTTCTTTTTCTTCGTCCTCATCATGATCATCAAACTCAACGACACTTGACTCATCGTTGTAGTTGCGCGGACCTTCATCAAACTTGTCTTCCATGAATGTGGCATCGCGACTGATCTTGATCGCTCCTGTTGACACTTCCTCAAATCGATATGACTTCTGGTGTTCGGCGTATCCCAGGAAACGACAGAGTGATGACTTGGAGTCGAACTTCGCGCGTTTGTCTTGAGGCACTTGAACATACGCGTGGCATCCAAACACTTTAAGGTTGGCCAGAATCGGTTTCTTCATCGTCCACACTTGATATGGAGACTTGTCTTGGTGAATGGCACGTGTTGGACAGCGGTTTCGAAGAAACATCGCCGTCATCACTGCTTCACCCCAGTAGCTCTTTCCCAGTCCAGCGTGTTCCATCATGCAACGCGCACACTCGACCAGCGTGCGATTCATTCTCTCAGCTACTCCGTTTAGCTGAGGAGTATATGGGGGTGTGAACCTTTGTTGTATTCCCCGTTCCGCGCAGAATCGTGCCAGCTTGTCGGACTTGTATTCACCCCCATTGTCGCTTTGAAGGTACTTCACGCGCTTTCCGGTTTGCGTTTCGGCCATCGCAGCGTATTCCATGAACTTCGCCGCAACTTCAGATTTGCTCTTGAGCAGATAGACGACACAGTATCTTGACTTGTCATCAATGAATGTCACGAAGTACCGTTTTCCACTGAAAGTTGCCATCGACATCGGTCCGCATACGTCGCTGTGAATCACTTCGAGGAGTTTGGAGGTGCGAGCTGTATTGTTTGATTGGAAGCGCACTCGAGTCTGTTTTCCCAGAGCACAACCTTCACACACGTCCCACTTCTTCACCGAAGATATGTCGATGCCAATTCCAATGTTCTTCGTCACGATGCAATTGAGTCCATCGTGACCTATGTGGCCAAGCCGAAGGTGCCAGAGGTACGACTTGGTGCCCCCTTGACATCCCGACGACTTGGCTGCATTTGCTTGTGTTGAAAAGACAGCGGCTGTGAAGAAGACACCTCGTCAAGCTGCGTCAAGTGTTGAAGCAAGTGGAAGACCAAGCTTCGCTATACCGGTGGGTACCGGTATGTACCAGTAAGGGCGAAGTCAGGAAATGACGTCACTGGATGACGTCACTGCGAATAATAGGCTTAGAGGTAGTATTCAAAGTTGCGAACTAAGTACCTATTATAAATATATATTCACTTTGCGTTTTGCACTCGGACCAAGAAGTCTAAAGTTCATCAGGTTATGAGCCCAAGTTCGTCAGACTCTGAAACCGCCAACAATTCAAGCTTAGCTGCCATGGACGCCTCCTCCCTCCGCATCTCCAAGTTCGATGGAACTAACTTCCACGCCTGGAAGTTCAAGATGCAGATGGTGCTGGAGGAACGGGACCTATGGGAGGTCGTCAGCGGTGAGATCAAGGCGGAACAGTGCGAGACTCAGTTGGACCAAGCGACGTACAAGAGGAAGTCAAGAAAGGCGATGGCAGTGATCTGTCTAGCCATGGAAGATTCCCAGCTACCGTTGGTCCGGTCGGCAAGTGGTGCATGCGACGCATGGTCAAGGTTGGAAGACCACTTCGAGAAGAAGAGTCTTGCCAACAAGCTGTTCTTGCGCCGTCGCTTCTTCACGACAATGATGGAAGAAGGCGACGATGTGCTCGAACACATCAACAAGCTCAAGACGCTGGCGGAACAGCTAGAAGCGGTGGGGGCTCCAGTCTGCGAGGACGATCTGGTGATCACACTCCTCGGCAGCCTGAGTGACTCGTATCAATTCTTGATCACAGCTTTGGAGTCGCGCTCAGACACTCTTAGCTGGGAGCTCGTGACGTCTCGACTGCTTCATGAAGAAATGAAGCGGAAGGAGCAAGAAAGTAAAGGTGATGAAGCTTCGCAAGGTCAAGCGTTCATCACAAGGGACAATCAGCGCAAAGGGCGACCAGTGAAGAAGTCCTGGCCATGCCACAATTGCGGAAAGATTGGTCACTGGATGGCGGAGTGCCCCTCGCGCATCCAAGAAAACACGGAGAGACACCGGCCACAGCGTGCTCAAGACAGCGGCGACCGCTATCGATCACAACGTGCAAACGTCGCTCAAGAAGAAGACTCGGGCGACTACCTCTCTTCGATCGGTGAAACGACATCTGCGAAATCGAGCGACATCTGGCTGGTCGACTCCGGGGCGACGCAGCACATGACGTGCTCCAAGAAGTTCATGCGGAACTACAAGGGGTTTGACGCTGTGGATGTCCATCTCGCGGATGATGGAATCGTCCAAGCAATCGGCAGTGGGGACATTGTCATGTCGATGAAGACACCCCAAGGGATGAAGAAAGGTGTGCTCACAAACGTGTGGCACATCCCAAAGTTATCCAGAAACCTGTTCTCGGTCGGCCGCTTCACCAAGGATGTCGGCCCAGTGACGTTCACGAAGGATGGGTGCTATGGAGAAGCGAAAGGGACCAAGTGGAAAATTGGTGCCCGTGAAGGTAAAGGACTGTTCAGGCTGCAAATGACTCCAGTGGCGCCGGAAGAAGCTGATGAACTTTAGACTTCTTGGTCCGAGTGCAAAACGCAAAGTGAATATATATTTATAATAGGTACTTAGTTCGCAACTTTGAATACTACCTCTAAGCCTATTATTCGCAGTGACGTCATCCAGTGACGTCATTTCCTGACTTCGCCCTTACTGGTACATACCGGTACCCACCGGTATAGCGAAGCTTGGTCTTCCACTTGCTTCAACACTTGACGCAGCTTGACGAGGTGTCTTCTTCACAGCCGCTGTCTTTTCAACACTCCCTCTCGACTCGTTAGCTGCGGCACCTTGGATCCCAAGTCGATCGCGAATGTTTTCAAATTGTACAGCGGCGATCGGCTTGGTCATCATGTCTGCCAGCATATCTTGAGTCGGGCAATACTCCAAAACGACTTCACCTGATTCCACCTTCTCACGCACAAAATGGTAGCGTATGTCGATGTGTTTTGTTCTCTTATGGAACTCCGGGTTCTTGGCGAGAGCGATTGATCCTTGGTTGTCTTCATACATCTTGATCGCTTCGTCGCTTGTCATCTCACCAAGTTCCCCAAAAGCACTTTGAGCCATACTGCTTCTTTGGTTGCTTCGAAAGCGCCATGTATTCTGCTTCTGTTGAAGATAGCGCGACCGTCCGTTGTTTCTGGCTTTTCCAGCTGATGCATCCTCCGCTCATCATGAACACATAGCCGCTTGTACTTCGTCTTGACTCAATGTCGCCGGCCCAGTCTGCGTCGGTGTACCCGCAGATACGGCTTCCTTCTTCACGTGTAAACTCAAGACCATGATTGGGCGTTGCTTGCAGGTATCTCAGCACACGCTTCAAAGCTTGCCAGTGAGTCGGGCATGGGTCGGACGAGAACTGGGATAATGATCCCACTGCAGCAGCTAGATCCGGACGTGTGGCGACCATGAGATACATGATGCCTCCGACAGCACTTCGATATGGCACGTTGCACATGGTGTCTTCGTGCTTGCATTCTTGTTCACACATGTTCTTGGTTAGCTTCAGGCCGGGATCTTGAGGCGTCTTCACTGGCTTGCTGTTATCCATTCCGAACTTGGTTAACACGGACTTGAGAAACTTGGTTTGTTGTACAGTCACCATTCCCGTCTTACGGTCGTTCTTGATCTCCATGCCGAGAAAGTAATCGAGCCTCACCGAGATCCGTCATTTCGAAGCGTTTGCTCAGCGCCATCTTGGTTGACTTGAGGAGTTCGTTGTTGCTGCTGGCCAGGATGAGATCATCGACGTAGAGCACCACGAGAATCATGTCTTGGTCGTCTCGCTTGATGTAGATGCAGTGGTCCGATTCGCACTTCTTGAATCCCATCTTGATCATGAACCCATCGATTGTTTGGTTCCACATGCGAGGCGATTGCTTCAAGCCGTAGAGTGATCTCTTTAGCTTGCACACATAGTCCGGCTGTGTTGCATCCAGGTATCCGTCCGGCTGGTCCATGTAGATGTCTTCGTTGAGGGAGCCGTTAAGAAACGCTGTCTTGACGTCCATCTGATGTAGCATTAGGCCGTACTTAGCCGCCATACTGAGCACCACACGAATCGATGTGAACTTGGCCACCGGTGCGAAAGTTTCTTCATAGTCAACTCCGAATTTCTGTGAGAATCCTTTGGCCACAAGTCTTGCCTTGAAACGTTCAACTTCGCCATCTTGATTCTCCTTTACACGAAAAACCCATCGGCACCCGATGGCCTTGCGACCTTCGGAAGAGGCACGATTTCCCACGTGTCGTTTCTCTGAAGCGAATCGAACTCCGAGTCACACGCTTCTTTCCACTTGCCGGAGTCGCTTGATTCCATCGCCGACTTGAATGTAGTCGGCGTTTCCCCACTGAATCAACGATGTAGGCTGCTTCAAAATCCATTGCAGCCGCTGACACATGCTCAAGCGACGGACCTCTGTATGTTCTTCGCTTGGGACTTGAATGACGGTAGCTTTCTCAAGTGATTGAGTGCGCGTGTGTCTCTTGATGTTGCTCTTCGAAGACCTGGTGTCTTCGTTGTCATCGTCGCTCGAGTCCATGTCGTCGTCAGTTTTACCTTCTTCTTTTCTTCGTCCTCATCATGATCATCAAACTCAACGACACTTGACTCATCGTTGTAGTTGCGCGGACCTTCATCAAACTTGTCTTCCATGAATGTGGCATCGCGACTGATCTTGATCGCTCCTGTTGACACTTCCTCAAATCGATATGACTTCTGGTGTTCGGCGTATCCCAGGAAACGACAGAGTGATGACTTGGAGTCGAACTTCGCGCGTTTGTCTTGAGGCACTTGAACATACGCGTGGCATCCAAACACTTTAAGGTTGGCCAGAATCGGTTTCTTCATCGTCCACACTTGATATGGAGACTTGTCTTGGTGAATGGCACGTGTTGGACAGCGGTTTCGAAGAAACATCGCCGTCATCACTGCTTCACCCCAGTAGCTCTTTCCCAGTCCAGCGTGTTCCATCATGCAACGCGCACACTCGACCAGCGTGCGATTCATTCTCTCAGCTACTCCGTTTAGCTGAGGAGTATATGGGGGTGTGAACCTTTGTTGTATTCCCTGTTCCGCGCAGAATCGTGCCAGCTTGTCGGACTTGTATTCACCCCCATTGTCGCTTTGAAGGTACTTCACGCGCTTTCCGGTTTGCGTTTCGGCCATCGCAGCGTATTCCATGAACTTCGCCGCAACTTCAGATTTGCTCTTGAGCAGATAGACGACACAGTATCTTGACTTGTCATCAATGAATGTCACGAAGTACCGTTTTCCACTGAAAGTTGCCATCGACATCGGTCCGCATACGTCGCTGTGAATCACTTCGAGGAGTTTGGAGGTGCGAGCTGTAGTGTTTGATTGGAAGCGCACTCGAGTCTGTTTTCCCAGAGCACAACCTTCACACACGTCCCACTTCTTCACCGAAGATATGTCGATGCCAATTCCAATGTTCTTCGTCACGATGCAATTGAGTCCATCGTGACCTATGTGGCCAAGCCGAAGGTGCCAGAGGTACGACTTGGTGCCCTTGACATCCCGACGACTTGGCTGCATTTGCTTGTTCCGGCGCCACTGGAGTCATTTGCAGCTTGAACAGTCCTTACCTTCACGGGCACCAATTTTCCACTTGGTCCCTTTCGCTTCTCCATAGCACCCATCCTTCGTGAACGTCACTGGGCCGACATCCTTGGTGAAGCGGCCGACCGAGAACAGGTTTCTGGATAACTTTGGGATGTGCCACACGTTTGTGAGCACACCTTTCTTCATCCCTTGGGGTGTCTTCATCGACATGACAATGTCCCCACTGCCGATTGCTTGGACGATTCCATCATCCGCGAGATGGACATCCACAGCGTCAAACCCCTTGTAGTTCCGCATGAACTTCTTGAGCACGTCATGTGCTGCGTCGCCCCGGAGTCGACCAGCCAGATGTCGCTCGATTTCGCAGATGTCGTTTCACCGATCGAAAAGAGGTAGTCGCCCGA